AGTGAAACATTATTAAACAACGTCAAACAACTAAGTGATTCATTATTTTCAATACAACTGATCATAGTCATTTTTAAACACATTAATTTTTTTCACTTTAAAAAATCCAAAACACTATTAAAAATCCCACATCCTAAGGTGCAATGGGCAGAAAAAAACTACAATGCACAACACTTACTAATGTGCAGTGGGTACAATAGTCACCACACATCCCGAGGTGCTTGACTTGGCTATGTTATTTTTTAAGTTTATATATTAAGTGTATCTAAATACTAAAAAATATTTGTAAAATATTTAAAAAATTAACCAAAAAAAAAAAAACAGGGAAAACAAAAAACTAAATTTCTAGAAAGTGATTTACTTTTTGACTTTTTATATAAAAAAAAAATGTACAAAAAATAGTGTGAATAGAAAATCATCTTTGACTTTTTGATATGAAATTGAAATTTTTTAACATTTTACATTTTTTAGAATTTTTAAAAAAATTTTGACTAAAATAATCATTTGCCAAACTGAGTTTAATAGTCATTCCATTTCATATATAAATGGAAGTGAGCAAAACAATTTGATCCATCCATTTTCTTTTTGAGAGTTTGATACATTGCCTTTTTTGATTTGAAGGAGAATGGAAAAGCCTATTCAACTTGTGCTCTTCAAGGTGTTCGTGCTTGTGCTCCTAATTGTGACCGTGTCCAAAGTCATTGCACCAGTTGTGGTGGCTACCACAAGAGACCCAGATACTGCAAGAGGGTTTGCCCGTGACCTTATAATGTAGTGTCCTTGCCCTAAATTTCCCGAATGTTGCCATTGATGATACTATCAATACAAAATCAATCACATAAAGAAATTTTGGTTATACATATCAGATTATGAGAATCATCATAAAAGATACTTTTATTTTATATAGTTGATTCTACGGTTTTGTATTCATAAATTTGTTATACATATATTATGTGTTATTCCGATATGATTCTTCTAAAGATTTTAATGCAGATATCTTTGATCAGTATCTACATTAGGTGTATGAGGTGCGCACAATAGTTTTTAATAAAAAGGTCTTGTTGTGCGTCGCATGAAAATAAAGACGATTTTGGTCCCTAAAGTATGCATTTCTTGTCATTTTAGTCCATCAAGTTTTAAATTTTGTCATTTTGCTCGCCGAAGTTGTCTATCTGAATCAATTGGGTCCTAACTTAGATTGACAATTTCGAAGACCAAAATGATAAAACTTAAAACTCGATGACAAAAATGAAAAGAAATGCATACTTTAGGGACCAAAACTGTCTTTTATCCAGAGATAAAATACTTTTTCCGTTATCAATGTAAATAGATGTTAGAGATATGACTAAATTGACTTAAATTGACAACTTCAAGAACCAAAATAACATATTAAAACTTATAGGACTAAAATGACAAAGAATATATATTTTAGGAACTAAAATTATCTTTTATCCATATTATAATTTATCAAAAAAAACAAAACAGACACAAGAATGTGCCTCTACTATCTCTATATCATAAAATGTTGAATAATGAAAACTCAAACAAATGCTAGCTTACATTCCTTGGATTATAAACCATACTAAAACAAATGTGAGCTTAGATGTGAACATGGCTCTACTATAATGGGTGTATGAATTTCTTTGATAACTACATTCAAGATGATGGATTTGGGAATTGGATCCTCTATTCCAATCTCATATGTTCCTCTATTTTAAATCATTGGTTTTGTCACATGATTTATTTCTTTTATTATGAGCTATTAGATTTAGGACCAGGGCCGGCCCTGAGTTATTAGGGGTCTAAGACGAATTTTTTAAATTGGGTCCTTCATATATTCATGTATCATTATCTTAAAAAAAAAATTGTTTGGATAAAATAAAAAGGATAAAAATTTATTTCTATTGCATTACAATTTAACAAAATTTAGATAATATATATATATATATATAATAGTTGAACTTCAATTAGTTGACTCAAATCTTTGTTTTTTAGCTTACTAATGCTACAATAACTAAAATTAATTGGGGGTAACGCTGAGAATTTTCAACACAACTCAAACTATATAGATATAAAATTAGCAAGTTACGATTGACCATTTTTCAACATGAATTCAAGTATAACACGACTCGATAACATGAATTACTAGTTATATATTTTAATGTTCACTAAGAGATTCCATGACATTTTTTTAATGTTTTATTTAACTCTATCTAACTGAATAAAAAAGTATGTAAAATAATAATTAAGGTTAATATTTTTTTTCATTTAAGATATGTATTTTTTTGTTACCTATTTTAGAGTCAATCTAGTAAAAAAAAAAAAATATAGTAATAAGGTACAAATTTTTTAATTAGAAAAATGCAATTGAATTAAAATCAAATATTCTATGAATAATTTCATTTAGTAGAAATAAATTTTATAAAATTCAACATATGAGAAAAATTTTAATCTCTCCATACACTTGCTAAGTTATTTTTAACAAAAAATGAAAGTTCTTATATTAAATATTAATCGGACACAAATTAAAAAAAACACCATACAACATGATACAATCTCCTGGTTAGGGATCCTAAATTTTGTTTAAAATTGAGGGCCCAAGACGACCGCCTTTGTCGCCTCACCTTAGGGCCAACCATGTTTAGGACAGAACTGGCCGAAACAAAAGATCCTAAACCATGAATATGTTACTTCTAACACCATGCAATGCATTATAGAAAAAAGGTAGGGAGCTCCAAAAAAAAAGAAAAAAAAAAGTTCGAAATTTGTCTGAAAATGTAGTTATAATGTATATTCAAACCACTTCACACTACAGGAAAAAGAGGTTTAGGTGGCGTTTTTTTAACGACGCTTTTTTAAACGTCACTTTTATTAGTATTTAATGACGTTTTATAAAACGTCGCATAATTCTTTATTTAAAACGACACCGTTTTATAATTGGGGGCGTTTAAAAACGCCTCCAAATGTGGTGTGCTTCACGCGCTTCCTCTCTCACTCTTTTCAAATTCTAATTTTGAATCTGAGAAATATTATGCCTAAATCTCCAGCGCGCTCTCTCTCTCTCTCTCTCTCTCTCTAAGCCCTTATCATTCTCAGAGCGATTTCGAGATTCAGAGGCTCCACCGCCATCACCATCTGCACCGGCGAGGTAGGTGAGCTCTCTTTCTCTCTCTAAATCTCTCTCTCTCTCTCTATTTCTCTCTCTCTCAACCCTCTCTAAACTCTTATCATTCGCAGAGATTCAAATCGGTCTCAGTGGTTTCATCTCAGAGCGATTTCGATTTCGATTTCGAAGCTCCACCTCCACCACCATCTGCACCATCGCCTACTAAGGTGAGCTCTGCCGTCTCTCTCTCTCTCTGAAACTCTTCCTCTCTGTCTCTCTCTCTCTCTCGCTCTCTCTCTCTCTCTCTCTTTGTGTTTCAGTGATTGATGAGTTGTTTGTGCTCTGTTTCAGTAATTGTTTTTCACTGATGAGTTGGATGTGCTGTAATGTCAGTTCTGGCATTCACTTGATTCATTTGAGATTCATTTGATTTTGCTGTGATATCACTCCATTTCATTTGATTTTGCTTTGATTTTCCTGTGATTTTGCTGTGGTGGTAGAAAATACAGGCATTCACCCCATTTGTAATCTCTATTTCTTGTTTTTTGTTAAACTTGTGGATCTATTTGGTTTCTGTTTCTATACTGGTTTCTAGGGTTTTGTTTTGTGTTTTCAATAACAAAGGAAGAAAAAAAAATGAAATCTTTCAAATATAGAGTTTCAGAAAATCTTTCAAAAAAAATGAAAGCTGGTGTTTCTGCTCTAGCTCATTTGGATGATTGATGGTTTGGGATATTTCTAAACTCTAGCATAGCACTGAATATTTTATTAATTTATTTTTGGAGTATTGAAATTTGGTTGGTGCACTCTGTTGAAGCTTTATTGTTACACAATTAGCTTTATTTGCATTTGAAATTGCATGATGTCTTGTTCAATTAGCATTGTTCAGATTAGATAGCTTCCAAGCAATTTTCCCTCTGTAATTCATATCCTATACTTTCGAGGAGGTAGCTAAACAATCAAAGCATTATGTAATACTCAATCTTGATGGCTTATATAAAATTGGTTCATCTGGTATGGTCGTTAGGTCTGGAAGTTTAAAGATGAAGCTTCAACAAAGAGCTTAGAATGTAGAATTTGCTAAAAGTCTCACCCTCTTTAACCTCTAGAGGAAAAAAAATCTATTGCATCTCTTTTTTTTGACTTTTTAATCTATTTCCCCTTTTCATTGCATATGTGCATAAAAATTAAAAAATAAATAAATTCCATTGCTAGGTTCATGCATTTGAAATTTTAGGGTTTCCTGTCTCTGAGATGAATGAAAACAACGCAATGTTTCTCTCATTCATGAATTCTGTGGATGTCTTACAAGTTTTTTGGGGAAAAATCTCATGTACACAAAGTTTTAAGGATTTGTATACCCTGAAAGTTTTTAAATTATGATTAATTTTTTTAATTATAGCTGATGAAATCTTTAATTATATCCCATATCATTTTCCATTATGATAAAAAATTTTTAATTATGACTTATTCTTTTTGAACATTACTCGGGTTAACCCGACCCAAAATGCACCCTTAAAAACGAAAGCAATTGATTAGGGTACCAAACAATGTAGAATCAGAGCCAGAGGCTGAAGTCGAGTTCCCTAAAGAAAAGAAGACAAAACCCAAAAACATCCAATCCCATGAGAATTCAGCATCAAGGGCTGAAAATGTATATGCCCAAAGTATCGACTTAAGTGCTGAAATGCTTTGCTTGGATACACAGCCAAATAAAGGGGAGCCCATGTTTCCATTGGATCGTGATTTAATATCATTTGGCAGTTTGGGTCATTTAGCTATGTATGAGAGTGTTCCAAGTTTGTATCCACTTGCTTTGGTTTTCTATTTATCCTAAATCCTAATGTATAGCTAACAAACATATGATCATGTTCATGTTGTATGTTTGAGATCTCTAAACAATGCAATGTTCTTGAAACTACTTGTTTTGTGTGCAGGAATGGACCAGTTTATTGGTAAAATGGAAGTTCCAGGGAGCTTTAGTCCTTATCAGCATGGGGAAGGACATGACATCATCGGGTGATGCACACAGGTGCTATTTTGTTGCTTTGGATTGATCAGAAGCTTATTGAACTTGAGGATAATGGACTATATATCTCTACATTAAGAAGTCGGTTAACTAGGGAACATACGAACCATAGATAGCACAATTAATATCTACATGCTCTGAAGTTTATGATTTGTCAAGACTTGTTAGGGCTGAGAATCTGTGAATTTCTATGAAAATGAATTTCACAGTTTAATGAAATATACTAGTAGTTAGTAACTGTGACACTTCATAGTGCTTGTTGAATTTTCCATCCCGATCGTATAAGCGTGTTGCTAATATGCTATGGCTGGCATGGTTGAATCTATGTTTGTATGTATTGAATTGAAGTAACTTAATGTGAACACCAAAGTATTTGTGTTTCTCATTACTTGTTTTTTTGGTCTAGTTTTAGATCTTATTGAGGATGTTCTCAATTATTCTCATATGACAGACTGAGAATGGGTTTTGTTTTCTCCACGCCTCCCGTGTCCATGACCATAGGTGCCACTACTAATCTCCACCAGAACCATTCTCGTTCTTGCTCTGTCATCAAACTAGCAGTCCAGCTTGTTTGATTCTAGTACCAATTTTAGTGAATCAATCTTTCAAAGGAACATTTTGCTTTCAGCCTTGGTTTAGTTTTTGTCAACCGATGTTTTGCTTTCACAAAAAACATTTTGAATCTATGTTTTAAGGATTTGTATACCCTCATTCATTGATGACACTGAATTTTAACACTCTTAGATGTTAATAAAATCTCAAAAATTAATTGCTACAATTATTATTTTGGTTCTTGAAATCTTGATTTTTACTTCTACAATGTTAGATGACTTGATTGTTGAACTATTCTATGTTTATATTCATTACTGTTTCATTTCAAAATTTGATGGTTTTAAAATTTGATGCCCTTGTTTATATTCTATGTTTATATTCATTACTGTTAAACCATCAAATTTTGAATGTTGAAATCTTGATTTTTACTTCAAAATTTGATGCCTTTGAGTAATGGAACAACTTGCACAAGCCAATCTTCAAACACACACTTCAAAATAACAAACCTAACCTAGTTACTCTTACAACCAAGCCCAAAACTCTACACATTGAGTCAACTCCGGTGAGTGTCCTTTGTTCGATTCTTCGTCGTCTTCTTCTTCTTTGTTTATTCTTTGATTCTTCTTCTTGGTTTTTTACATTTTTTTGTCTTTTCTTTTCTGCAGTGCAGCAACAAGAGCCACTCGAAGTCGATTTCCTCCCTTTTTCGAAGTTGATTTCATCTGTTTTTCGCAGCAACAAGAAGGTAAGTTCAGCCCAGCCCTTGTTTTTTTTTTGCCCTTGTTTTCTTGCTCTTGTTTTTGCTACTGTTTTGCTGTTTTCCACAGAATTTTCCCAACTTTTTATTTATTTATTTATTTTCATTTTTCCCAATATTTAAAAAATGAAAAGATTTTTTTTTTTTTGGGTAGTGACTTGTACTTGGTAACCCAGCATTGTTTGAGGCCTCTTTAATTCATTCAATAGTAAACAATAGCAAAGAGAGTCCTAGAATCCTAGGTCCCTATCATGCATTGATCCACCTAGTCATAGTCTAATAGAGAGCTTTCATTTGAATATATCTTACTTAGTAGTTAGTTGTTGTCCCATTCCGAATCATAGAATAGCTAGGATAGTAGAATGTAGCATTGGCTTACCTTAGAAAATAGATCTCTCAACATTTTCTAATTAGTAATATAATAACTTCGGTTCATTGGTTTTTTTTTTCTCTCTCTCTTTGTAGTTTTCTTCTTCATAACAAAAACAAAAAGAAAAAAGTCTTCAAAAGCTTACAACCAAAGTTTTAAATATCAGTCAATATATACTAAACTAAATCAAGACTTAAATTTTTTAATATTTATTAATATATTGGTCGATATTATTTGATATTAGCTCATATAACGGTATTGTTGATACTAGTACATATTCTGAAATTAGCTTACAACCAGAGTTTTAAATATCGCCAGATTGATAGTTTTAAGGCTGGAATCAACACACTTATTAGCCACTAACTCAACAAGAATCACTCTTCCTCGCATGAAAGCACAATGGGATTCTGAGATGAGCTGTGCAATTGCCTTCCTCAATCTCAATGCTAACACTGGCAATTATTTTATAGACACCATCAATCAATTTAATAGGTCTCAATCTTGAATGTCCACTACACCCCTTTATTTGACATGGGGTAATGGAGGAGGCATTCGTACTCATCTCAAACTCTTGTCCCAAAAAAGCATGCAGAACTGCTTGGCCGTGGAGCTTAGTCATCATTGAGGAGCCTCAATTACTTCTTCCTCTGAAAATGGTATTTTTAACTAGTTCCTGTCCTTCTCCTATAGCATACTAACCCCCAATTTTCCAATTAGGGTCCCAACATTTGGCTCAGAATCAAGCCTGCTATAGAACTCCACAATAGTTTTAGAGATATCCTCCTCCCTAGTCAAAACTTTCCCATCAACACTCAACCTGCTGATGTGATTATCTTTTCTTTGTGCATTAGCCATTCTGCTAAAGAAACTGGTGTTTGGCACTTTGTGTTGCAAAAAAATGCTTCAGAGGGAAGTGTTTATGTTGATTTCTTTTCAGCATTGTCTGATCTTGACATTTTGGCAGGTTGCAAAAGGTGTAATGACCTGTGTGACTCAAGAAGTAAAAGATCTTTACCATCTTTTGGACCATGAGTTTCTCCCTCTAGATCTTGCATCAAAAGTGCAGCCTTTGTTAACCAAAATTTCCAAACTTGGGGGTAAGCTTGCTTCAGCATCTTCTGTACCAGAGGTCCATCAATCTTAATACATTCCCATGCTGGAAAAGCTTGCCACTCTAAGATTGCTTCAGCAGGTACAGGGGTGCTAGGTTTCATTTTCGGTACTTATTTTTTTTCCAATTTTATGCATTTTCTAAAAACTATTTTCATCGTGCTTGATATTTTTCATTTCTTGTTTTCCAGGTGTCTCAGGTGTATCAGTGAATGAATATAGAGAATTTATCTAAAATGATCACCTTTTTTGAATTTTCTGCTGTGGAGAAAATCTCTGTTGATGCAGTCAAACATAATTTCCTTGCAATGAAAGTTGACCACATGAAGGGTGTTGTTGCATTTGGTAACTCGGTAAGTAGTTCTTGTACCTTTATGTCTATATTGCTGTCTACTTGCTTTGCTGAATGTAACTTTATCATTTGCTGATGCTATACACAGAATAGTAGTAGCAATGAAGTTAACATTTGGTTGTTTCATTCTTATCCACATATGGAAATCATTTTGATGTTCTCTTTTCTGTCTTTGATTATCATCAAATTGTTGATTTCAATTTGGAACACATTGTACTTTCCATAGTTCCATTTCCATATTAGTGGTTAATCACAATATTCAACTTAATGATATATATAGGTTAACAATTCACACTTGAGTTATTTCCAAAAAACTCCATCAGGAAATCATTAACAAGCTTGTTGAATTGTACTGTGAGTCACACTTGGGCAAGCGACAGCTAGCTTATGATGGAGGAAGAGTGTCTACCCTGCTGGGTGCCTTTGCTTTTTCTTCCAAGGACTTTGTCATCAAGCTCGTCGACCAAGATAGAGGAGCAAGGTTATCTCTATTTTGTGGTTTCATTGCAATTTGTGTTATGTTGAGTTGTATATATATGTCTTTATTGAAGTGTGATTGGTGAAGAGCATTGAAAAATAGTAACCTTTATTATCAATTGCTTTTCAACTCAAATGGAAAACTAGCTTTAATCTTTTTCTTATTGATTTTGAGTAAGATGGTGGCTCTTATGTCATTATCTGGATGCAAATTTGTGCAACAAGAAAATATGGTATGCTTTAAGTTGAAGTTAATGCTAATGCTTGCTTTAAAATTGCAGGAAGGATCGTGAATTTAAGGTCTCATTCAAATTTGCTGCTAAAACCTGACATACAATCATCTTCAAGAATTCATGCGTGGTAGACAACTTGGAATACTCACAAGAAACGTATTACAAGTCTTGTTTTGTTCTTTTTATCTTGGTCAATGTGGTATATCAATTTTTGGGAACTGGGGTGATTGATTTTGAAGCTTTTGATTGCAGTAATGCAGTTGTGGGAAGGTCATTCTTCTCTTCAAGCTTTGGTGTAGGTGACCTTGGAAATGGATTTAAATATTGGAAAGGATTCTATCAAAGTCTTCGTCCTATTCAGATGGGCCTCTCCCTTAATATTGGTAGAAATATTTTTCAATTCTCCACAACCTCTTCCCATATTTTATGAAATATATAGCACTGGCTGAGGTTATTATGGGCCTCCAAAAATTATGATGTTGTTGATCATTCTTAATCGGACATCTGAATGTTGTTTTGCAGATTTGTCAGCCAGAGCATTCTACGAACCCATTCTTGTTACTGACTTTGTTGCAAAGTATTTCAATGTTAAGGATATGATAAGGCCTCTATTCGATCAAGAATGTCTTAAGGTATTTTTTGGTAGCTATACCTCACGGCATACAGTAGGATTTTATATTAATTTGTTGAAAAGTGAATACTAAATATTTTAGGCTGAGATGGAACAAAACTGAGGGTTACGATATAGACTGAAGGTGAAGAAATAGGATTTCCATGACTAGATGCTATTCTTATAAGCATTTTACTATTTTTTCTTTTGGGTGGTAGTGGTTGTATTTCTGGTCAATATTAATATTTCAGGTTTAATGTTTTCTCTTTCCAAATTACTGGAACTGATTTTGTTTGTTATTATCAGGTCAAGAGAGCTCTCAGAGGCATTAAGGTTGAACTTGCTCACAGGAAGCATGTTCAGTGTTGTAGAATTTCAGGCTTGTCAGTTCAACCAACCAATCAGTTAACGTAAGTTAATAATCAGTATTATTTCTGTATGTGTTACACTGACATGTTTACTACATGATGAAGTACTACATGATGAACTTGCTTACAGGAAGCATGTTCAGTGCTGTACATTTATTTAACACAATTGTGTCGTCATGTGAGGATATAACAAAAACAAAGAAGCACACAACTTGTTCTGTATCAGATTAAACAAAAATAAAGAAGCACACAATGAGTGGGAGTTAGATCAAATGGCCTCTAAATTTGTTTATGCTATGAGAGCATTATTTATTTAATTTTACATGATTATCATGTGTCTGTATTGTCTTTGGGTATGCCATTTTCTTTATATGTATTTAGTGCTTCTTGGTATGTGATAAAATCTTTTTATTAGTGCTTCTTCAAGTTTTAAGTACTGTTTATAAATATTGGGTACAAATTCTTCAATTTGTATTTATTTTGGTGAATCTGATTGCAGTTTATGTTCTGATGCAGACATGTAGACCAGTGAAGACTACAAGTTTAATGCTAAGACCTGATTTTTGGATATATGTTAGTTTGTGGTTAATGTTAAAATATGATTTTTAGATTTTGTATATGTTAATTTTGTGGATAATGGTGATTGGATATTAATTGAATGAGAAAATGAATTAATGCTTCATTGCAGCTATTTGAATGAGAGTTATTATTTTATGTTAGTGCTATTACAGGTATTTTTTTAATTCAATCAAATAAAATTAACACAATTTAAAAAAAAAAAAAAAAGAGGGATATGACGGCGTTTTTACAAACGCCTCTTAAACCCTGCTTACTAACAGTCATATTTTAAAAAAGATATGACGGTGTTTTTCCAAAACATCGTTAAATATCATCAGTGACGTCAGCATGTGTTAGGAGGACATTTGGTGGCGTTTTTAAAAACGCCGCCTATACTAATATCACGACGTTTTCAAAACGTCACAAAGTTATAGCGACGGCCGCGTCCTCGACGTTTGATTCTAAGCGTCGCAAAAGGAATTGGCGGCGTTTTTAACACTTATAGCGGCGTTTTTGAAACGCCACTAAAAGTCTGTTTTCCACCAGTGTCAGGATCGGGAATTAATTTTTTTAATAGTTTTTTTGGATTTTTTTAAGTGAAAAATGTTAATTTGTTTAAGAGTGACAATCTTTAGTTGTATTGAAAATAATGAATCACTTAGGTTTTTGATTTTTTTAGTAATTTATTAATTTTTTTAATAATTTTTTCCACTTTTTATTTATTTTTATTTTTTTAACCAAAAAAATAAAGTTGCCAACAACACCTGTAATGTGAGAGAGTGAAAGCATTGAAACCGGTAATTTAATGCCTATTGCCAGAATCCATTATCCATGTAAAAGATAAGTCTTATCTCAGTGGGCATTAAATTAGCTTTCCAAACAATGTACTAGTGGACATGCCTAAAATCTAGGTAAGCTATGTCCAAGATTTCCTCTTTACGGTCATTGCTTTTTTAGCAATTTTTTAATGTTGTGATTTTTTTTTTAAAAAAAATACAGTTTTTTTGATCTTAAATTCTACTAGACTACATGAACTGAGAACTAGCAGAAAAATGAAAAAATTTCAATCAACTTTTTTTCAAAAAAATAAAACTCAATTACTGTAGACTAGAAGGATCTAAAAGTAAAAAATATTTGACACAAATTTTTAAAAATTCATTGAAAACAAAGAAGTTTGAAAACAATCCATTTGGAAAGTGACTTTTTGAGTGCATTTTTTACTTTTTGACTAAATATGAAGTAAAAAAGGCCAATATATTTAGGAAGTATTTTTTTTAACTTTATATGAAAAACGATAAAAGGTAGCGTTGATGAAACATAATCTTTGATTTTTTTGTAAGAGTTGATTTTTTTATGATTTTTTTAAAATCTTTTTTTAATAATTTCTAAATTTTTTTTGACTAAAATAACTATTTGACAAACTGGGTCCAATAGCCATTCCATCACATATATAAATGGAAGTGGGCAAGTCATATTGATCCATCCATTTTCTTTTCTAGAGTTTGATACATTGCTTTCTTGATTTGAAGAAGAATGGAAGAGCTTCTTCAATTTGTGCCAAGGTTCTAAATTGCGGTATCGGGTAACGTAACGGTATTGATCGCGGAGTATCCATATCGGTAGTATCGATCGGTACGTATCGGAAATCGGGTGTTGCGGCGGTGAAATTTAAAAAATCATTTTACAAGTTTTTTAGCTTTTTCTTTCCCATATCGGTCTGAACTGGTGAGTATCGGCCCGTCGCGACTTGTGTAACGGTTACAGGCCGATACGTACGGGGACTTGGTCGATACTCCTGCGATTTTCAATCTCAGCGATAGACCGACCTGTATCCGTCGCGGCATCCCATTTTTCCGATACGTATCGGCCGATACGTATGCTCTTGAAGGTAGTCATGCTAGTGCTCCTAATTGTGACCATGTTCACAGCCATTGCACCAGTTGTAGCTACCAGAACAGGCCCAGATGCTGCACCAGTTGTAGCTACCAGGGTAGGCCTAGATGCTGCACCAGTTGTGGCTACCACAATTCGCCCAAATGCTACAGTAGGGTTTGCCCATTTTTGGGGTTGTCCTTGCCCTGCAGTTCTCATCTGTTGCGGTAAATGATTACAGATATAGAACCAACTACATAAAGCAATTCTGATTATGCCATGCCTTTTTGAAAACAAAACTCATCTTCATCTTTTGAAAACCATCATACTCAATGATGTTATGCAACTTCAACTGTTCAAAATTTACCAATTTAATTCAAGGGGGCAGTAAATATAACTCTGGTAATCTTTAGGTTGGTGTCTGCAAGTAGACTATAGAGTACTACCAATTGTCATTTTTACCGGTATTAACCGGAAGGCTTGACACCTATCCGCGCGACTTCCTGGTCTTTCACCAAGGACACTCATGCCGACTTAAACAATTTCATCTATACCACCTATCAAGACTTACCACCGTATTTACCCCAAAACCTTTTCATGAAAACTCATTTCCTAACATTCTTTTCTCAAAGCAAATTTCCAAAGCTTAACATAGTCCAATGAATTGAAATGCCAATGTATGATTAATAGTGCAATGCAACATTACTTCCATATTCAATTGTTCCACACAATATACCACTGTGATCAAAATTCCCAACACAATTCCACAAGATGAATATATAAACTTTTATATCCAATTCATCCAAGAGAATAACATAATTCCCACATTTCTAGCAATCTCAACAATTTAGTCAATTCAATACTAAATTAACATTTTGACAAAAA